GTCATATGTAGAGATATAGTTCCTTTCACTTTTTTGCTCTTATGGGCATGCATTATGGCTGTTTTAAGGTCCCAACAGTATCACATCTGCAATTGTACCCAGTTTAGAATGTTCAGTTTGCTGTCATTTATCCTGTCTGCAGTTCTGCACCCATCTTGCTTCTCTTTGTTATCTGCAAGGGATCTAAATAATCTAACATCTGAAGAATTACTTTTACAATTTGGTGCCACACAATAATCCATTCTTTCACTTTTTGAGAACTTAAATATAGCCAACTCACACAGAAACCTCGTGTAGGAAATACTCTATCAATAAGCCCCAAAATAACTACTGCTGCGAAGAATCAAGGGATTGCATCCGGATCCATTAATTGTAACCAGGAATTGTGACCAGACCTTGCTTTTGAAAATCCATAAATAAATATTTTATATTACTAGAAAAAAGACAAAATGCAGAAATTAAACATATAATTGTAGTGTTTGTTGATGTAATACCAATAGTTTCACCATTTTAGAATAAAAACAGGCATATACGAAACCATGTAATGTAACTTGTTTCTTTTTTTTACAGCAAATAAAAAAAAGAAACAAGTTACATTATGATTATCCCTCTGGAATGTATAACTTTATAAACTGGCATGCTGGCATTTCCCAAAATAAACCAGCATTCTGGTTTTACCATACAGAAATATCTGATTTCATTATCTCCCCAGATAAACCAACGTGCCAGACAATCTGCAAAAATATGATAGCAGTTTATTGACCTTAAAAGTGGGGGATGCGGCTGAATCTATTACTTTCCCTGGAGAGAATAAACAAAGCTTTACTAACCTGATCTTAAAAGATAATACCGTCCTGTAAAATTTAAAACAAACCCAATGTCAATCCGTGTAACTTGAGAAAATTTATGGGGAGTTGAAATTTGATATGTTTATTTTTTGCATTTACAGAACAAATTACAAAAAAATAAACATAAAAAACTAATTTTTTCAATCTACAAGTATTTTATATTATTAGATAGTAGAGAAAATGCAGAAATTGAAGATATAATCATAATATCAAAAGTGCTCAGCAATTAAATAAAGAGAAACAAAACACCTTTTTTTGCGAAGAAATAAATATAATTGTAAAAAACAAACGTTTTCAGCCCAATTAATAGGCCATCTTCAGGTCGAAAACGAAAATGGAACGTAAATGTTCCATGAATAGAACATAAAAATTTTAAATCAAAAATTTTTTACAAGAGAAAAACAACGAAAGAATATATAAAAATTAAAATAAAACAAATAATAAAACAAAAATAACATAAATCTTCAATGTACTAATTCTGGTCCAAGTTTCTAGTAAATTTCTTAATTAACCAAGTACTTCCATGCCAAATCATAGTTTATAATGCAATGCTTGTTTTTTTTACAATTTAAAAATAAATTAATGGCATCTGTCATATGACTCACAAATAAACTCATTCATTGATGGAACACATGCAACAAATGATCAATAAAAACACCATCCACACTGGCATTACAATTAAATCACAAAGTTTCTAAAAATTGTAAAAAGCCATTTAGTAATTGGAGTTGACAGAGCTACCTCCAACAGAGAGCAAGAAAATAAAACATATTTTTTGTAAAAAATTTTTTTGAGTCTGAAATAATAAAAAATTCAGTTAAGAGTTGCTTAACTTTCCTGGCAACATTTAAAAGTGTGTGGGGTACCATCTCTGTTATACATAAGAGATAAAAAAATAAAAATAAGGACCAATGCTGGAATACTGAACCATATGCTTTGTAGAAATATGTAAATTGTAAGGATTTGTGTGATAGTTTATCAGATGCAAGAATTACAAGATTATATATTATTACTAGCAGATGTGCCCAGCGTTGCCTAGGTAAAAAATAACAACAAAGGTTAAGATTATTAGATTATTTCATATTTTTATATATTTTAATCATATATTTAAAATCTGCACCCTTGGAAACCAGTTAAAACATATTTTATGCTCACTGGTAACTGTATTATACAATTTTCCTATTCGAATGCCATCATACTGCTGGTCCAATAGAAAAGAAACTGATGCAGGAAGAAGTCGAAGTAATTCGACCAAAAGTAGTCGTTGACCTCCTCCCAAAAGAGACAATGTTTAACGACTATTAATTAATACCAGTCTACTATTAATAATTGAAAAGTGATCTGTGTTGGATAGGTTGTGATGGCCATGCACATGATCAGAGTTGTTAACCTTAATGTCCAAAAGACTTCATACAATTTGTTTAAATAAAAAAAAAATTGTGTAAAAATGTGATAATAATTACCTTTGTGTGATGATAAAGTATTTAAATTTTTGCAACAAACTATACAAACTACATGGGAAGTATGTTCTTGTAAATATTGCATTTATAGAAAAATTACCAGGCTGCAATTTGAAAAAATTGTAAACCTATAAATTCTGATGTCCCTTGTCTATCTGTGGGTCTGTCTGTTTTTACTTAATTAATCTTAAGAAAGGTGTTAGATAGGCACTATGTGTAAACCATAAAACCATATGGAGATAGAAATTAATTGATTTAGAGAAATCCAATAGATATTTTGGTTTGGTATGCACTACATTACCTAAGTTAGGGGTATATAAATGTAACTGATGAGTTTCGTAGCAACTACTCAAAAGAATCTAGGCATGTATAGCGAACAAACGTCCAAACATCCAAACAAACATTCTCATTTATATATATAGTTAATTAAATTAGTAATCTAGATATAGCCTGATAAATCCAATAATTAGATATTTGGTTTATATCAGATATTTGCTTATGTTTATAAATATATTTTTCTCTTTCTACTGATATTTTCTTCCATATTTTCTTTAAATATGACCATAAATGAATCAAATAAAAGCAGCACTAACTAATATTGTTTGCTATAATGCCAGAAGTATTATTGAAAAATCATCTATGCAAATAAACAAAGGAATGAGAAATAGCTTATAAACAGGTTTAAAATGAATATTTTAAAAATGAGTATAATGTAAAACAGTCATTATTACAAGAAACTTGTATGTGTTCTTTTATTCTTATGAAAAGCTTTCATTTAATGCTTGAACAATAAAAATTAGGATTTTTCTTGTAATATTATAAAATAATATTTCATTACTTTTCATTTTGTTAGATGTCTTGATAATAAGTTTCTAAGCATATGCTTGCAAAATATTAAGGGTAATTCATTTTAGGATCTAACATAGCTTTGAAAATATAAACCATTTCAAAACATTTCTAACAATGTACAATAAAAAAATATAATTAAAAAAACGTTTAAAACATTTGAATGTATGTAGTACATCTTTATTGTCATATTTGAAACTTAGGCTTTTAAAGTTTAAAACTTTATATTTAACATCAAAAAGAGAAAAGAGTGTAAATGAACAAGTATACAGTGGTTCCTTGTACTTCAAACAACTCTAACTTTGAACACTTCAGAATTTGAATGCTAAATTTGACTAAAATTTGCTTTGAAGTTAAAACAATGCTTCAAACTGTGAACTGCATGCACAGTGAAAAATTCTGCTCAAAGTGTATCAATCTGCTGTTACCCAATTCATCACTCACTCTCATTCTTTCATTAGGCTCATATGTTTTTGGTGCCTTTTTCACTTTACTTTTGGTGGTTAGTTATATATATTATGTTATTCATCAATCCTTAACTATTTTTTACTGCAATTTTTCTTTGTGAACAGCTTTTTGGTTTCCTGTACCTTCTGTATCCTTTAGTTTAAAATTTCCTAAAGGAAATAATTTTTTAAATCACATTTGAAATCTAGAAGCATCTTTCCCATACATATTACATTAATTAATTATTTTACTGTTTGTATGGAATTATATCCTTTCAGAAACTCACACAGCATAATATGCCTGATTTATATGAAGACATTTCAAATTAATTTTACTCAAACAAAATGTAAAGTTCAAAATAAGCTTCTAAGCAAAGAATACAATCCCACATTAGCAAAATTATGTTAAACTGTTATAATTAAATCACACATCTATGTTAAGTAATGGCAGCTGTTAAAAATATGCAAAAACTTTCTGTTCAACCCAATATATGTTTATTTGTTTGTTTATTAAGTTATGGCAATGCAACACTTGGGTCATCTGCCTAGTGGAGGATGCCTTTTAACGAGGTCTTTTTAAGGGTAACTGGCCTGTATTCAGGTGTTACAGATGTGGAGAAAACTCAGAAAACTCCATGTGGCCAGCCAGTCTTGGCAAGGAGCGAACACATGACCAAAACTCCCAGTGTTCAGGAAATGGAACCGCTTGGCATCTGGTGGGCCTTGGCCCAATATAACTTTCACTTATATAACTGTAGCACCTGAGAAGTGTGTGGAGGTGACAAAGTCTAAGAGGAAGGTTGTAGTATTGACGATTATGATGAAAGAGGAACTTATACCCAAGCATAAAAGCAGTACATGCATTTTTGAAGGCCATGTTTACAATACTGAAGTCAATGGTTTGTGACCAGTAAAAGCTATTTACTGTTATATAGTATTATATACTGTAGTATATATGTATTTTATTTATTGTTTTCACTGTTAGAGCATTCACTTGTGTTATTTTTACATTAAATTATGTGTATTTGCTGTTTTATGTTTATCAAAATGTTGTTGTTTAGGATCTGGAAATGGATTAATTTCCATTATTTCTAAGGGAAAAATTAATTCAGACTTCAAACAGTTTAGAGTTTGAATGGTCTTCTGTAGTGAATTATTAATAAATTCACAGTACAAGGCATCACTTATTAACTATTAGAATTCATAAAGTTTTCACATTATTAACATATCATTTTGTATTGTTTTTGTGTACTTGAATAGTGTCCTTGAAGTAAATAATTAAAATATTGTTAGAGGTTTCTATATGTTTTTGAAAATACTGAGAAATATTCAATTATTCAAAAATATATATTTGGCAACAAATAAGAATAAAATATATAAATTTATGTACTGGTACATACTCAGTAAGATCAGCTACATTTTCTTTCAATTTGTAAGATATGTTTAGAATGACATTTTGTAATATCAATGATTCTGATGAAAGTAAAGATTTTTCATTTTTATAGTTCTGAAATAAAAATAAATCATCATCATTACATTAGTAAAAATACATAAGCAAATTAAATCTGTAAGACTATTTCAATATAAACAAATCTACTGTTAAATTTTTTACCCATGGTAAAAATTGACATTATTAAACATTTAGCAACTATAAAACATAAGAGATATTTAAGTGCTGTAAGCATTCTTATATTTATTTCTAATTTTCTATATATATGTTATATAAAAACTTTTCACTTGACTGTTAATAATCTATAAATCTAATTAAATTTATAAAATATACCACTTCTTCCAGTTCTTGTTTTAAATTTTGAAGTTTGCAATTGTTGAGAGTTGGAATGTCTAGATCCAATAAATGTAAATTTACAAAATTTAATGGTTTATAATCTACATCTGATACACTGTCGTTATCCAAGTCTTTAGTTTCTTCACTAATTTGGCTGTAAGAAAAAAATTCAAATTCATTAAAAATCTACATTTTTAATTACTAATATCTGTAATTTTTCCTGTACTTCCCATTTAAAGCATAGGTTCAATTCCCATATATATAATGTTATACACATGTGTATAACATTATATTTTTGAGAACAATGTATCTAAAAATCATTTATAATTTCAATAATTTAATTATTTTTTAAATCTTGAATTCTTTCTTAAAATAAATTTTATACAGAATCTCTCTTAAAAAACAATATTGTAATAAAACTGGTAAAGATATTTAATAAACAAAAAATATTTGGATAAAAACTCCAACAAGGAAATTTTTAAGCAGTTTTTGTAACAATAAATCTCAAAGCTATCAATACAGTATTCACATTTTTCATTTCAATTAATTTGTTATAAGTTATTGTTAACCAGAAAATCAAAATTTATTTTAGAAAATTTTTCAATTTAGAGATAAAGACAAATTCCAATTTTGTGTGTGTCAAATCAGTGGTCTGTTTGCATAGGTATAAAATTCAAAATAACGTAAAATATATCAAATCAAATCAAAATAATACTAACAGAAAAGCCGTCATCTGTGTGTCTGTGTGAATTCCTTATAACTCCTGCAATTTTTGTCAATGGACATAATGAAATTTTGGTCATATCTGTTATATTCTGATGGAAGATATAGGCTACTTATTTTACAGAAATATTAGCTATAAAATAAACATTTTTATCAATTTCAGATTGATGATCACACTTATGTTGCAGTGTTGTTGGTGATGATGTGATGTTCATGCCAGAGAGGAAATTTCCCTTAAATTGAATTTTTACATATTTTGGCAAATGACGTATTTTAAACTTACTTCATTAAATTTAAACTTTAAAAATGATAGCTACATCACATCACTTCTATAACAAATTTTTATAAAAATCTTTCCATAGTGACCACAAGATGTTCCAATTGGAAGTAATGATCTAACGGGACATTATTTAGAAAGTGTTATCATTCATCTAACTTACATACATACAATTCACCTTTTTTTTATCAATGTGGAATTAAAAAGACTCACTAGTTTGTTGGAAAAAATGCCTAAGAGAAAGTATAAAAGTAAAATTGGCTAGGTAAATTCTAGATATAAAAGAATAAGAACAACTGAGACCCCTGAAGGCTGTGAAATTCAATTTCAGCAACATCAAGTAAAATTGGCTTTGTCAAGGGGTGCAGAAACAGCATCACAATGTCAAGCTTGACTTGAAGCTCTTCTCAATTCTTCAATCTCTAGTTTCTCATAAAAAAATATTCTGTCATGCTTGACATGAGAATTTTTAGTAGTTTAATAGTTTGAAATACAAAACCAAATACCAAAATATAGCCTAAAATGTCAAACTAAATAAATGCACGTAGCTGGATGCTTAACTACAATAAATACAAAATACCAAAAAATCCAGCAATATTTATTGAAAACTAATGTTTTTAACTAACTTCAACTAACATTTCAAATTAATGTATTATAACCTGAGAGTGATTACTAAAAGTCAGATTATAATAAAAGAACACAAATTCAATTGTAAATTTCAAACATATTGATTTGTTTGAAAGTATGAAAATTCACTAATAAAAGTTAATAATATTTTAATTTTAATAAAGAATTATTTTCTAATTATTTAAATCAAAAATTCAAAAATTCAAAAATATCAAAAATTAAGAACATTTTTGAAAACAGTGACATAATGAAGAAATCTTAATGAGATGGAGGGATGGTATCATTTAGATTTACAGGCTCATGGACAGACCAAGTTCTAAAGTTATTAGGAGCTAGTACATAAAAAAAGTGCCATGTCACATACCAAACAATTTTAAACTTATTAAATATAATATTTTATGTTTAAAATCAAAACAGAAAGATGATACAGTCTTAGAAGAAATACATATTTGTTAGTTGTATTTAAAATCAAATCACAATAAAAACATTTTTACAGTAAGCACATAAATTTCAATACATAATAAAAGTGTGTGTGTTATTTAATTATCTTAATTTTAAATTTAAAATAAAAACAAAATGAAGCAATGTGCAAAATGTTTGAAGGAATACAATACTCTCTTGGAAGTAAGCATAAAATTACTATGGAGAACTTATACAGGAACACAGTTGATGAATTCATAACAATTCTGTGTTTACTTCCAAAGTCCTAAACAGCGAGAACATAAAGCAATTGAGTACTATATAACAATCTTTTTCATCTAGGCTTCATACTAGCAAAGTTAGCTACAGTAGAACATCGATTATCTGAATCAATTGGGAACTGGGGTTGTTCGGAAAATCGATATTTCGGATAATCGATTATGTATGAAAAAATATATTAATTAACCTATCCCATGTTGAAATTTTTCTCTGTTGCATGTCGCTTCGCGTTGGAATTTTCGTCGATATTAAGCCTAATGAAGACTATTGTATCGTTAAAAATTATTTTTTTTATTTTGTACAAACAAAATAAATATATTGAAAAATATAAAAACAATAAAAAATTATACTTCAGAAGTTAATTTAGTATCAAAAATGTAAAATATTTGATTAGCCAAAGACATAGCCAAAGATTGCAGCGCCACAGCACTGGCGAAAATTTAAATTTGCCGACTGACATTTCAGATAATTGGCTTTCGGATAATCAACACTCTACTGTATTACTTTTTTATAATCACCTCAATCTCCAACTCTCTTTCAATGAACAGCAAAGCTAACCCAGACAATCTATCCTCACCCAATGTAGAACAAAGACAGGATTTTGTGTTTCAGTTGACTAAAGGATCATTTTGCAACTCCACTATTTACTGGTAAAATCAGAAAAATGTGGTACAATGTGGACAGGTTAAAATAAGTGCAACACATTGTTGGCAAACATGAATTTAAGTACATTGTTGAACAAATTTTTTGTAAATATGTAGATAGATTGAAAGCCTTGTCTAGCACTTTAGTCCAGAATATAAGAACTACTAAGAATTCATACGTACTGAGTGTTTCTAGTACAGTAGATCCCCCTATAAGATGGTAGATACGTTCCGTTCTTCATGAATCAATTTTGTAGGAATCATAGTTTACGGACTACGGCTGTTTGAAAGGTTTTCTTTCATAAAATTAATCGATTCTAGACTAATTCGACTCAACATTTCCAAAATACGTATATTTTTTTGAAAATAATCCGTATAAACTACGTTATAAACAAAAAATTGTAGGATTGCTTACCGAGTGTGTACCGTTCGACTACGCCCGTTGCTAAAGCTTGGTTTCGTCGCGGAACAGCGCATCAAACCGCGGCCGCGATTTCTGATATTATTTTTCTGCGAAAACTTCGTTGACCTTTGGAGACATCCTTAATATAAATAATTTTTATGGCCGTTAAATAAGAAATGTTTCTTTCACAAGAAATGTATAAAATTACAGTACTGGACAGACGATAGGTCGCCTAACTCGCCGTAGCGTGACGCTAGACGGCGAAAAATATATATTTAATTATAATAAAGTTACAATAAATTAAGTTAATATATAATTATATATACAGTACCTAATTTATATATAATTAATATATAATTATATGTACAGTACCTAATTTATATATAATTTATATAATACTGTCCAGACGATAGAAATCTCTCCGTAGCGTGGCGCTACGGACGGCGGGAAAGTAGTTCGGCTGCCCGATGACGTTTTACGTATTATAGGAGTTATTTTTACCGTTGTTTACAGATACTGCCACAATTTTTATAGGAATCATAACTATAGGAAACGGTTTTATAGGGGGATCTACTGTATATCCTTTATCTGAGCAAGCTGCTTAGGAGTACAGTTTTTTATCTCACCATCCAGAATTCTTTGAAGAGCAACTACTAGTAATGATAAATTATGCAAAACTGCCTTGAGTGCTGTGTGGACACTCATCTAGTATCACATAGCTTCTTTAGAGTCAGTGCAAAAGATTTGATCTGAATGCATTGTTGTTTTAGTACTGAGATAAACTGACAGAAAAAAAGGTATAGGCACTTTCTGAAGTTCCAAAAAACAACTGGGTTTAAATGTTGGAGCTTACTGCATTAATTAGGATCAAATTTAAATTACTGCACAGCAGTGTGTAGTGCATTCGAAGCAACTTTGCTAATCTTTGTTTGGAGACCATATATTTCATCCAACATGATGCTTACACCATCATAAGACTAATCATAACATATTATTGGCAGTTCTTAGTTTTTGATTTCTAGAAAAAGAATGTTTAAAATATTTTCAGCCCTTGCTTCAGGCTATTTGCTGAATTATATAAATCATTGTATTGCATCACTGTGTATAATTGCATATCACAAGAAAAAAAAATATTCATCAATTCTGCTGATGTCAATAGTAGAATCAATAATTACTGCACCTTGATTTCAGCTATCTTTCATAAAATCTGGGCTGGCAAAGATTGTATAAAATTATTGTGTATATCTGGGCTTAGATATATTGAATTTCAATCACTCAGTAATAAATGTTGTCCCAGTAATGTAACATTTTTGGCACACACCTTAACAAGTTCCAAAAAAATTGCCTTTACTTGTACTTAGCAAACCTAAATCTTGATATTTTCAATAAATATGAAATGCCAATCCTTGTTTTCTCAAATAGAGAACTTCATCTACAATATGTGTTAAAACCAACCATCCTGTATACAAAGCCACCCATAACAGTTCTGTTATTCAGCAAAAAGTAAAATAAGATCTTTCTCCACTTTTTTGTGTTTTTTAACTTTATACAAGTATATACCTTTAACAAAAGTTTCGCAACCAATTTTTGAATCATTTCAACCATCCAAACAATTCACAGGAAGCCAACAAACAAAATAAAGCATAGTGTTTGTCCTTGGTGAGTAAACTAAAACCAGTACCTATCCATTTCACAACCACTTTTAACTTTTTTCTTGTATCAAGTTGCATTGAACTTCATCCAGCTTCATCCTTTGGAAAAATCCAAAATTATCTTTAAGA